AACCGAACAACAAAGAATTAGCGAGCAAGCGGAAATCGAAAGAAAATAACTAAAAGCAGATTTAAAAATTCAATTTAATTTAGTAGGAAAATTTTAATTTTAAATACATAATTTTTTAATATATCCAAATAATATATTTAAAAATATATATTTAAACTCCGTCAACCATGCTTTCGTTCGCGAGCGTGGTGGTCTAGCTGGAAACGTCGGAGATGGGTGGCAGAGGCCGGCAGAGAAAGAAAGATCCGCCGCCGAAGGGTGGTGTTGCAACAAAAATAACTGATCTGAAAGATGATAATGGGGAGCAAAATAGCATCTCAGTTGAGGAAACCAACAAAGAGCAAACTGAGGTCGTGAAGCTTGTTGCTCGCGATCCAAACCAGATGGGTCTCGAAATTGAGAAATCAGAGCTTTTGAGTCCAGATCTAGGGGAGAAAGAAAGGGACGCTGAAGGAATTTTGCTAGATCTAGCAGGTTCGACGCAAGGCCAAAGGAAAAGCGGTTTCGATGCTGGTCCCAGGGATGGAAGAGCAGATAAGGGGAAGAGACAGGTCGACCCCGTGGAAAGGAAAGGAGTGAAGGGGAAGAAAGGAGTGCGCTTGGAGACTCAGCCTTCTGTCATCCAGATGAAGCAACCTTCTGGGGAAAAGGACGCTGGTTCTACATCTGGCACGGCGATGCCTCCTAGTGCTCGGTGGAGTGATCTGATTGAGAAGGAGAAAAGGGAATTTCAACTATCCCTAAAGCAGAAGCCACTGCGTAGTTGGGCTTCGGTTGTGGAAGGGAATAGGGATATCAGTAAAGGATGGGATTTGCAATACATAAAGCCTCAAGATCCAACTGGTGCTGTGGTTATTACTGAGGATGAATGGGTTAAAGGGTCAAAGATTTGGGAGAATGCTCTTGTTGGGTATGTTCTGGGATCTAAACTTGATTTTAAGGATGTTGCAAATTTTGTGAATAACAGGTGGAGGGAATTCCAGGTGCCTAAGGCGTTTATGCTGCGAAATGGAGTTTTCTTGTTTGATTTTGGTGATGGAGATGCAAAGCAGGCGGTGCTAGAGAGGCGATGGACATTTAATGGGCACCCTTTGATTTTGAAACAGTGGACTCCAGATTTTGATCCTGACAATTTGGATATTAGTAAGATTCCTGCCTGGATCCAATTTCCTGAACTCCATTTGAGTCTTTGGAACCCTAAGAGCTTAGGAAAGCTAACAAGCTATGTAGGAGTTCCTATTGCAACTGATGCATTAACAGCTAAAAGGCAAAGAGTGGCTTATGCTTGTATGCTAGTAGAGATGGAAATCATGGACACTCTGCCCCGTGTAGTTCCTATTATTGGTCCAAAGGGTGTGTTCCAACAGCCTGTGGTCTTTGAATGGGAGCCTGTCAGATGTGGTAAATGTAGAAACTTGGGGCATGAAGAGAAAAACTGTACTACTAAGGAAAAAAAGGTGTGGGTTCCAAAAAAACCTGCCGAGGAACAGGTGGTCAAGCAGATAGTTGGCACGAAGTCTTCTGAGGGGAATGATGAATTATGTGGTGGTGAAGTGCAAACTGCTATTAATTCAGCAAATGTGAAGCAGAGTACACTTTCACGTCCTTCTGGAAAGCTGATAGTGGAAAGAAATGAGCAAAGTCTAGGGCAACTGGAAGTGGGAGCTATGAAGTCAGTGAATCTGCAGAGTGAGACTAGTGTTGGCACAGGGGATAAAGAGATGATGCAAAAGGTAGCAGGGGGAGAATCTTCTGTAAGTAAATCTCTCTCATGATATATCTTTCTTCATGGAATGTGAGGGGTTTGAATGACCCTATAAGACAAGTAGATGTTAAGAAGTTTATATGTTCAAATAAAGTCCAGTTTATGGCTTTATTAGAAACTAGAGTGAAACAAGAGAATAGTAGTCGAGTTGTGCAAACTTTTGGTAGGCAATGGGGATGGTTGAATAATTATAACTCTCATCCTAATGGTAGAATTTGGATATTATGGAATAAAACAGATTTGAGGGTGACTGAAGTAATACAAACAGACCAATTGCTACATGTTGAAGTATGCTCTGCAGTTGGGGATGTTAAATTCTTGTGCACAATTGTCTATGCTTTTAATACTTTTGATGGTAGAGTAGCATTATGGGATCAAGTTAGAGCTCTAGACGTTGAAAATGTGCCATGGATAATTTCTGGAGATTTTAATACAACTCTAAATTATGGTGAAAGGGTGAAGCCTGGTGGAGTTGTTTGGGGAGATACCTCTGAGCTCAAGGATTTTGTCAATAGAATGGAGGTTTTTGACTTGCAATTTTCATGTGCTTACTTCACTTGGAGTAATAAGCAAAGGGAAAATGACAGGTTGTGGTGCAAGCTGGACAGGGTAATGGCTAATACAACATGGGTTAGTGCATTCCCAAATACTTCTGTTGTCTTTCTAAATCCACAATCCTCAGATCACTCACCCTCTTTAGTGTCTGTGGATGTATTGATGAATGAGAAACCAAGGCCATTTAGATTTTTCAATGCTTGGTCTAAGGATGAAAACTTCCTTGATATGGTTAGGGAAGCTTGGAGTGTGGATATACAGGGATGCCCTATGTTTGTTGTATTGCAGAAATTGAAATTGGTAAAACAGAAGATGAAGCAGTTGCATAAAAATAGATATGGAAACTTGGAGGGAAGAATAAAAGATATGACAGCAGAGCTACAAAATGTTCAAGCGTCCATGCAGAATGCTTTATTTGATGAGACTTTGGCTGCAAAGGAAAAGGAACTTCAACGTGAATTAACAAAGCTTGAGAGAGCAAATCTGTCCGTAAGTGCCTAGCGAGCTAAAGTAACTTGGCTAAAGGAGATGGACTCTAATTCTGCTTATTTTCATGCTAAAGTAAAGGATGCAGCATAGAAGTGTTATTAACTCCATCCTGAACTGTGAAGGAGTTAGAGTGACTCAGCCTAAACTCATAGAACAAGAGTTTTTAATGTTCTATCGAAACTTGTTTGGAAAGGCAAAAGAAGGTGTTCAAGTAGTTGATATGAACGTTATCCACAGAGGCAGAATGTTAACTACTGAAGAGTCAGAAGAGTTATGCAGGCCATTTACTACTAAGGAAGTGGAGATTGCCCTATTTTCAATTCCTTCAAACAAGTCTCCAGGGCCTGATGGATTCACTTCAGGGTTCTATAGAGCAGCCTGGTCAATAATTAAAAATGATGTCATGGCTGCTGTGTTGGATTTTTTTTACAGTGGAAAAATCCTCAAGCAAATTAATGCCACCAATATTACTATTGTTCCGAAGGTGAGTTGCCCAAATGTTGTCAGTGATTATAGGCCAATAGCTTGTTATAATGTCATCTACAAGGCGATATCAAAGCTCTTAACCCAGAGGATTAATGAAGTGTTGAGCATGCTAGTTAGCAGTAAACAAACTGCATTTGTGAAGGGCAGATCTATAACGAAAAATTTATTGATTTGCCAAGATCTGGTGAGGAACTATCATAGAAGTAGGGGGCCAGCTAGATGCTTAATGAAAATTGATCTACAAAAAGCATATGATTCAGTGGATTGGGGTTTTGTTAATGCAATGTTAAGAGGGTTGAACTTCCCTGATAGATTTATTAACTGGCTTATGCTTTGTATTTCTACTACCAGATTTTCTGTATTGATAAACGGACAGCCAAAGGGTTATTTTCAGGGACAACGAGGGCTTCGACAAGGTGATCCAATCTCGCCTTATCTATTTGTGCTAGTGATGGAATATCTCACAAGGAAATTGAAGGAGTTAGATATGCAGGAGAAGTTTAAATATCATAGTAAGTGTCGAGTGATGCAACTTACGCACTTGATCTTTGCAGATGACATTATGCTGTTTTGTAAGGCTGATGAGGAGTCCACTGTTTTGATGATGCAAAAGTTTGAGCAGTTTGGCCGAGTCTCTAGGTTGGAAGTGAATAGAATGAAGAGTCAGGTTTTCTTCAGTGGTGTTAGAGAAGGACAGAAAGTTGCTTTAATTCAGAAGCTGGGTTTTGCTGAGGGACAGCTTCCAGTTAGATATTTGGGGTTGCCATTGATTTCAAAAAAGTTGTCTCCTGGGGCATGTCAACCTATTATCAATAAAATTCATCAGAGAATTGGCTCTTGGGCAACGAAATTCCTTTCATATGCAGGTAGAGTTCAACTAGTTAACTCTGTTTTATTCCACATTCAAGTTTTTTGGAGTGGTGCTTTATTGATTCCTAAGAAAGTGTTAAA